ATCCAAGACATATGCTCATGGTGGGTCAATCCAATACATTGTTCTCTAATAATATAACCATGTATCAATTTTGACATCTCTATTTAGTCTTAAGCGTATTATTATTGTCCATGCCCATAATAATACTTGACTAGGGATCTTTTAATAATAACAATTATTTCATTATATGGACTTTATTATCTTCCATTTTATGTTAAACACATATATATAACTGAAAATAATAGCGGCAATGCCTTTGTTCAATAAAATCGGTAAATAAAAGTATTATTACAATCATCATATGATTGGTCTTTGGGCATACTCTAACAGTCTTTGTAGGAGAAGGACTTTGTTAACAACGACTAGGGTTAGGAGAGACTGCTAGAATTTTGTAATTTAAAAAAAAGATGGATTAACTGTTTCGGGCTTTAGGTTGTATGGCTTATTTGGTTTGTGTGGGTAAATTTGGTTTTGATCTAGACTTAAGTATTGGGTGTAGATAAATTTTGTAATTGCAACAATTATTATTATAGCTTCTTGTCTTAGAAGAAATAATGGGTAAATCATATTTATTCACCTAACTCATAATTTTGAACATTAGCTCCCACTTAGGTTACAAATCAAATTTAATGGTACCGGTAATCATGAGCCACAACAATAAGTTTGAAATTCTATGGACAAAATTTTAAGACATGTCAACATAAAATGTTGTTCTATTTGATCATGTTGAATATAGAAAAATATAAGATGATCTTTATATTATTAAATAGGATGAGGTAGATACTATTATTGTGTTTACTAATGTTGAAGCTTTAGAGTATTTTAACTTTTTATATAAGAGCCACATCTTGAATGAACTATCGGATTTACTCAATAAAGTGTATAGTATCCATAATACGACTAAAGAAATGGATGGCATTAGACAATGAAAACAAAATAGAAGATGTTGAACGTTACTTAAATTTCATAATAGCATCACAAAAAGATGAGAGTGAATAAAAATAGTTTATTTCCTTCATTGATAATATCATAAGTTATTGCTATATATATTTACTTTAGAGAAAAAAAACGCGAGTATAGAGCAATTCATTCTCTATAAACAGGAAGTTGAAAACAAACTTGATAAAATGAAAAAGATGATGAGAAGTGATCATGGATGTGAATACATATAACCACTTGGTGAATATTATGTACAACATGATTTTATTCATGAAATGACATCATCATACTTTTTTCAATCAAATTGAATAGCAAAGTGGAATAATTGAACCTTAAAGGAAATAATGAATCTCAATGCTAGAAAGTTGTGGGTTGTCGTAGAACATGTGGGGAAGATGTTCTATCATCTAATTAGTGTTCAATAAGATGCGTTGTAAGAAAAATGATAAGACATCATATGAGTTATGAAATGGTAGAAAACATTCCTACTACTATTTGAAAGTGTGGTAGTGTCTTGCAAAGGTAATGGCCTAATTATCGAAACAAATGAAAATAATTCTTAAAAAAGTGGATTGTATTTTCATTGGCTATGTATAACATAACAACACATATCAATTTCTTGTGTACAAATCAAATAATCCTGAGATTCGTGATATTAGAATCAAAGAACGTGTCATTCTTTGAAAATATATTCTCTAATAAAATTAGGGAAATTGATCCAAGTTCAACAAAACGAACTTTAAAACTATCGATGAAGATATTCTTGATGATAAAAAAGAGGTGAAAATGTTCAATGAAAAGAACTTTTAAATCTGAGCAAATAAATGGGAAAAGGTGGAAAAATTATTTAATTCAAAATTTTTAACTTATATACTAGAGGCTAAACCTCAAACATATAATGATGTATTACATTCATCTGAAAGCTTATTATGGAAAGAAACTATCATAAGCGACCATTAAATTATTGGTGGATTTTCAAACAGAAAATGAAAGCATATGGAATAATTGACAAGGCAAGACTAGTTATAAAAGGTTATCAACAAAAGCAAGACATTGACTACTTTAATATTTTTTCTTCAATATCAAGAATAACCTCTGAAAGATTGATACTCACAACTGACTCTTTTTTTGAAATCTTTAAATACATTAAATGGATATTAAAACAACTTTCATAAATGGAATCTTAATGAAGAGATATACATAGAACAACTTGAGGATCATGTAGTCTCATGTCAAGAAAGAGAAGTTTTTAGATTGGTAAAGTCTTTACATGGACTTAAAAAAATACCTAAGCAATGACATGAAAATTTTGATAATATCATATGACAAATGACTTTAAGATTAATGAGTGTGACAAATGTGTCTATGTCAAAATTACTAATATTTGATATATAATCTTATGTTTATATGTTGATGACATACTCATTGTTGGAATAAACAATGAAATGGTAAAATGTGTCAAAGACACGTTAAACTTAAGATTTCATATGAAATATATGAGACTAGATGAGACGATTATGCATCCAAATTAATAGGTCATATGAAGATCTCATATTAACTTAGTTACATTATGTGAACAAGATTTTTGAAAATTTTAACAAAGATGATTCCGGTATAGCCAGAAATTCAATGAATACAAGCCAACATTATATATAAAAAAAAGGTGAAAGTGCTAACCAAGTGGAATATCATAAGTTTGATATTGCCTTCAATATGAGCACTTTAAGTAGATTCACAAGTATTCCATTGAAAATTCATTAGAAAATAATTATGATGCGAGATTACATACTATATTATTTCATATATCTTATTGTGTTAGAAGGATTCTTCTATGTTAGTTGGATATTTGATATTCAAGATGCATAGATATGTTTTCACCTTAGGAGGAGTTGGCCATAAAAATCCTCAAGAAAAACTATTATAACTAGACCCATAATGAAATCTGAGTTTGTTGTCCTAAACAAATTTAGAGAATAGGCTATGTGAAGGAAAACCAAACCTAATTGAATAGAGATCCTAAGATTTAGGTACAAAGGGACAACCCAATTGCACAAACCTTACGAGGTCACTGTGGGGATTCCTATCTCAAGTCTATTCTTATGATGAAAAATAATTATTAAAAATGAAAAAGGTTAAACAATACTTTTAATGATTATTGTGTGTTTCGGAGAGTTAAACAACATAAGTGACTTATACAAGAGTGAAGTGGAACCACTTCAAGGAGACTAGTGGGGCATGATTCTATAAGTTCTTGCAGAACCAAGAGATGTCCATAACTATATGGACATAACCACGAGAATTAAAAATCTTGTCAAAGAGGTAGTTGTGTGAAGTATGTCATCATTTATGCAAACGATAAAATAATTCAAGAACATCATGTCTTTTGGGTAACCAATAATGTAAACATACTTTTACAAAGGGAAAGTTCAATGGTGGATACCTACCTATCCCATGGAATTATCGATCATAGATTCTATCACCACATTGAGTTAATGATTTTTATTTAATCATCAATTTTATTCATTGGTAGAGTGTTAAAAATAGATTTTTGTAAACTTTGAGACATATTTTTAATGGGATAAAGGTTCAAATCATAAAATCATGGTTTCATATTCTACTTCATGAGACCTTACTATGGTATATCATATTCTCAAAATGATTGAGTGAAGGATGATAAATTGCTGCTCAAAGTAAGTTACTTGTGAATTCTATTCAGGAAAATAGAAAGTTTATATCTCACATTGATGGGATACCAATTATGGGATATTTTTATATAAATGAATCAACTTGGGTGTTGTAAGATGTGAAAGATTAGACTGCGCCTCATGTGTAGGCTTATGGGGTGTAAAATAGTATGAATATGAGGTTAGGATGTACCTGCACAACGTGAACGACATGAAATGTTCAAACCGATCGAAGCTTTCTAAGAACTTATAGATATTTTAACTCAAATCCGATTTTTCCTTCAAATAAGATCATATCTTATAAAAATTCTAATTGGGGTTAAAAGGGGAAACTAAATTGAACTTAATGACTCTTTAATTCAGACACTATTTTAGGTAATTATTATCTTTATTCATAAGATGAGAATATTTTGCATTAATGGATAAACATAATATTATGCATTAATAGAAAAATATTTTCTTTACTTTCAAATGTAAATATGTCTCATCGTCTTTACCCATATAATTTAATGTCTACATATGAGTAAACAAATTTATTCTTTAATTTTAATTATGTTCTTATTTTACTTCATTACATTGAATAATAATATCCACATATATTTATCATTATTTTGTTGTTCGAATTAACATGTTGTCTAACAAAATATGTTCTATTCATAAATTTAATATTTTCACTAAAATTAGTATTTAATTTAAAAGATGTCGCCATCTTAAAATTATGTTAAAAGAATTTAATACTTATCTAAAAAAACAAACTATATAATTACTATATTTTTAGTCAAATCAATATTTAGCTTGAATTTTAATTAAAATATTTTCTCTCTTTATTTAAGAATAAAAAATTAATTAATTAATTATAAAAATAGATAATTAATTCATTGTAAAATTAATATTAAATTATTTTAAAAATTATATTTATATTATTTATTAATAAAATATAAATTCATTTAAAATAATTTTTATTTTAATTTATTATTTTAATTTTAACATTTAAATTTGTTATATTAATTTTTAAATGATATTTGATTGTCTGGCATATGTGAATGAAAAATCAGTAGAATTTGAAATTTTCAATGCTAATACATCGGAGCATATTAAGATTTTGAAGTTCTCAGTGCTATCCTATCGGAGCAATTTACTCGATGGATCATTTTACTACTTAAAAAAAACTAATATTAGATATTTTCTCCAAATAATAAAATAAAATTATCAATACATATAGAATTTGTATCATTAATTCGTGCTGTAGTTATGTTAACAATAATTACATGTAAATAATTTATCTTATATAACTTAGGACTTATATTTACATTGTTCTCTTTTTAATTTTTATTTTATAAAATTTACATGCTTTCTAAACAAATTCTCTAAACATCAAAAAATACACGTAGAACGACAATGGCGAATTCGGAAACCGTCAACGGCGAGATGGAGACGACGGAGGAGTTGAACGACACCGGCGAAGGCAAAATATCCGAGCTGCTTAATAAAATCGAAGCGCTTAAGAGCGAGAAGCTGAAATTGACCCACGAAAACAAAAGAATGAAGGAGAAGATGAATAAACTGAATCAAGAAGTGGATCATCTGCACGGCAGGGAAGAAGAGATGAGACAGGACATAAACGACTGGGATGAAGATACGAGTTTCCTGGAATCGATCGCGACGAGATCGGCCGACCTCGAGATCGAAGTCACGAGGCTCCAACACGATCTCATAACGTCGATGCGCGAAGTAGGAGAGGCGAAGCAGGAGGTGATCGAGTTGAAGAACGGATTGAAGGAGAAAGCGTCGGTGATCGAAAGATTGCGCTCCGAAATCGCCGATCTGATAAAGGATAAAGTGAAGGCCGAGAAGAGAGGGAGAGAACTGGAGATGAAGATAGAGCTTCTAGAAGCGAGGGTAAAGGAGGAGAGGGGAAAGAAAACTCGGCTCCAAGATGAAATGGAGGAGAGGATCAATGAATTAAAGAAGAAAATCGAGGACCTTGAAGACGAGGTGGCTAAAACCAACGATGAGTTGAAAAGAAGCAAGCAAGTGAAACGACAATGCGAGGAGAAGGTGTTGGGGTTGGAGAAAAAAATGTTGGCATTCAAAGATACGGTGGACAAGAAGACAATCGAAGCTGCTCTCCGTGGAAAGGTTAAGGATATTGGTTGTGAAGACAAAGGGTTGAATGTGCCGATCGTGGCGGCCGGAATGGTTGCTGCCGTTTTTGTGGTGGCGGTTGTGGTAGATCGTTGCCTTAGGAAGCATTCCTAAAGAATGAGGGCTGGTGGAACTGGAAGATCAACAAGAAGAACGATAAGCAAAGGTTAGAGCTCTGTTATAGTTATGATTATGGCTGGGCATACATATTGTTTCTTTTTCTATTATAATTATTTTTCTTAAAATAAAATTTTCTGTATATCATTTTTTATAATTTAATTATATAACTAAAAAAACTATTTCTTTTAATTACTAAACTCGAAAAACAATTATAGCTTAAGAAGTTATAATAAATTGTTTAATGCTTAAATATACAAAAGTTGTCCAATTTATGCCCATTTTCAGTTTAGTGACAATATTTATTTTATTCTAGTTTGGTGTCTAACGTTCATTACTCAAAATGGGTCAAGCCGTGACGGACTATTAAGATTGGTCGTTAAGTGACATATGTCACAACCTGGTAATTTTAAAAAATTTATTTAAAATTAAAAAACTAAAATTATATATATATATATAAAGAAAACAAAATTTTGAAATAAACCTAAAACTTTGAAAACCTTCATTTCAACCCCTAAAGCCACATTGGTCGTCGCCTTTTTTCTGTTCACGAAGCTCCACCCGACCTCTCCTCAACGACCAAAACCACCATGAAATCGTGATTGATCGACAGTCAATCGGTCCTCGGAATCGTGTGGGATTGCGATTTTCATCCTAGGGTTCTCGGGGTATAAAACGTTGATTTGTCATCAATCGATCGTCAATCGGTCACAATTTTATGGGGGGTTTTGGTCACCGAAGGGAGGGGAGGTCGGGTGGAGCTTCGTCGACGGCAAAAGGCGGGCCGGCGTAGGTTTAGGGGTTGAAATAAAGATTTTCAAAGTTTTGGATTTATTTCAAAAAAAAATTCAAATATATATATATATATATTTTAAAATTTTATTTTAAAATTTTTTATTTTAATTTTTTTTTAAATTACCATGTTGTGACACATGTCACTTAATGGTTAAATTAACGTTGTTGACGGTTCGAGCACCTAAATGAGTAACGGAACGAAACGTTATGCACCAAATTAGAATGAAATAATCGTTAGGCACTAAACTAGAGAAAGGGACATAGGTTGGACACCTTTTGTATATTTAAGCCATTGTTTAAATTGATTTCATGTGTTTTATTAAATATAAATCAATAACGTATCATCCCTATACAAAAAATGAATTTTTTTTATTTTATTGATACTTTTTTTCTACCATACACATTTAACTTAAAAACATCATGTGTGAATTGAATTTGTATGTTTTATGTTATTAATTTGTTTCGATATGTTACACATAAAAACTTAATTTTTGTATAATCAATCCAAAGATAAAATTTTATAGAAAGTAAATAAATAATATATGTTTTTAAAAAAAATTAAAAAATAATGAATTAAAACTAGATTCTTTCGTTATGATATATTAATAAAATAATTAAAAGATTCCTTAGATTTAACGCATAAAAATATAACTTCATATAATTGATTTGAACGTAAAATTTTATGAAGAAAATCAATAAACTATATATTGTTTCATTGAATTTTAAAATAAAAGTCGCGAGTTAAAAGTATGTTCTTTATTATGGTATATTAGAAAAATAATGCTATCGCTGCTCATTAAATTTGTCTAAAATTAACTTTTTAAAAGTTAAAATTCTTAAACTTTGATCATAATTATTTTAAATATTTTAAACAATTAAATTTTATAAAATATATACTTAAAAATTATATGATTGAAGATTTTTAATATATATATATATATTATATTTTTATCAATAATAAATTTTAAATAAAAATGAGTCAAATTAAAAAAATTGACCAAAAAAGTTAACAATTAACAGTTTTAATGGAACAAAAAGAGTAACTTTTTCTCTTAATGCTAAATATTTAATAAGTATTAGGACATGAAGCTTAATTCATTTTTGGAAGGAAAAAAAATACCCAAAGAAGTAAGAGGTGGACTACAAGGTATCATTGTTATGGTGGGAGTTTACGATCAATGATGGAACAAGGGAGACGGGTGCGCAGTCGCTCTCACTGAAAATTTGAAATTAGAATATTATTGGAGTAAATTAGATATAAAATCATTATTAGATGACCTATTTGATATTTTAACAGTAGTTTGTGGATAAAACTAAATATTTACCATTTTTTAACATTGACACATCATCAATTTAACATAGATAATAGTGGAGTGACCATTTTGTTATAAATCGATAACGTTAGTGGTTATTTTATTACAAATCGATAACGTTAGTGGTTATTTTATTACAAATCGACAACATTAGTGACCAGATCGTTATTTTTAAGACTTCAATAAAAAAATAAAAACTTACTGAAACATTAACGGCCATTTGTGTAGTTCACCTTATTAAATATTAAATATTTTTAATTAATTCAATTAATTAATTGATTTAAATTAACCAATGGCTGAAAAAAATAAGATTTGTAAAAAAACAAATAGGACCTCAATTATAAAGGTAGAAATTGAGATAAAAAAAACTGAAGGAATAATTAAAGAATATTTGGAAAATTGAAAAAAAAAATATGATTTGTAAAAAAAAATATACAAATATGATTAGATTTAATTCAAAATTAAATGAATTAACGAGACAGATGGATAAAGGGATGAGAAATTGAGAATTTTTTGAAATTGTAAAAAAATAGAGGCCTTAATTATAAAGGTAGAAATCGAGATTGAAAAAAATGGGGGGCTCAATTATAAAGGTATAATTGAGATCGAAAAAACTTAGGGGCCTCAATTAGAAAGTTAGAAAGTGAGATTAAAAAAACTTAGGGGGCTCAATTGAAAAGGTAGAAAGTGAGATTGAAAAAACTTAAAAGTCTCAATTATTATAAAATTAGGGGTCTCATTATATAGGTAAAAAAGGGATTGAAAAAATTAGAGACTTCAATTATAAAGATAAGAAATGAGATTGAGTAATATTAGGACCTCAATAATAAAGGTAAAAAATCAGATTTAAAAAATTTAAGGACCTACTAATAAAGATGAAAAAATAAAGACCCCAATTACAAAGATGAAAAAATAGACCAAGAGCAATCGCTGAGGGTGCTCCCTCTGTCTTTTAGTATCTTGCAACCCGAAATCATAATCGTCGATTTTTATAATTTGTATTTTTTTCGTCTTTTTTCAATTGAAATCTTCTTTAACATTTCATGTATTTGTGTGTAAATAATAATATTCTTTTATATTTAAAATCATCTTCAAATTTTAAACTTCAGATCCTAAGTTGTTATTCCATGACATGCAAACCACTTGGGATATAAAAGAAAAAGCCAAAACTCTAAAATTAAACACCATTCAGTATCTTAATCACCATAACCCTAAATCCAAGATATCACTTGAATTTATGGTATTAATATAGTACATTTAAACGCAGTTTGTGGCATCAACTGACCTCGTGCTGCTTCACCTGCTCCTATTCACTTGAGCTTGACAAAATCCATTATATATTTATATTCACCCCGTCATTCTATTTAACCCATGCACTCACCTTCCTATCTCCATTCTTTCTTCTTGTGCTTGTATAACAGACTGAGAGATGGAGAGGGAAAGAAGCAGGGTGGTTTGTTGGACCATCTGGATTTTGGTAACTGGCTTTCTTTGCCAGGACTTGGTGGTTCCAATAATGTCCACTAATGGCTTTGAACAGCAGGATAACTTTTTCTTTCCGGCACCAGATCCCCACACTGGGACTGTCTCCTCAGGTTTCACTCTCTTTTACCTCTCACATTTACGATTGAAATACCCGAGGTATTATACACGTTAAATTCTAAGTCTAACTGCAGGCTCACACGGTGGCTCACCTCCAACTCATGAAACATCATCACATAGAAGCGGTGGTGGTTACCACCCAACACCGACGCCGTCAACGCCTCATGAAGATTCGACTCCGTCAAAACCGTCACATTCACCTTCACATGGCGGATATAATAATTACCACTCCCCTCCTCCCTGCTGCAACCTTAAGCCCGCCATCCACTCCCATTAATGATCCAGGAAGTCAACATCTGGCGGTACATGCGAGTAAGTCGTTGTAACTTCCACCACGCATTGCCTTTCATTATGAAGTTATCATACTCATAGAGGCTCGTCACGAAAAATGTAGATATCATATGTTACTTTTTAAAATGGGACTCCTATTTTTCACAAAATAAAAAGAATTCAGATAATGTCTCAAAATAACTCTATACTAGTGAGATTTTATTTGAAAAATATATCTTCCAAACGCTCTTAAAAATAAAATCATGACTTGTTTTACAAAATATGTAACTCTCCCAACCCGGTAGCGTGTGACATGCACTATTTGTAGATGAACTTACAGCCGACTCATGTTTTGTTTCTTTTTTAGCTTCTGGATGAGCCACCCGACACTTATATAGAACGTGTTGGGTTGGTGGGGCAGCGCATTCGGTTTGACCAGCATCCCGGGTTTGGTTCAACCTGTTATAGTATAATAATGCAGCTGACTACAGTTGATTAGCTGTAAATTGTTGAGTTTGTAATCAGTTTTTCTGTTATAAATTAGTTAGAAGCAGTTTTGAGTTAGTTAGGTGGTTAGTTTGAAAGGTTGTATAAATAGATGAACAAATTGGAAGTTATTGTATTATTGAATATATCAGAATTATTTTTTTCATTTCCCTATTATACTTTAACATGGTATCAGACTAGTCCAATTCCCTGGGCTTTTCCTCTTTCTCGGCCTTTTCTCGTTTTCTTTCTTTCCTCTTTCCTGAAGCTCTTTCATCACCGCCGCATCTGTCGAGAATGCCATATGCAACGGCTTCGATGACCGACTCTGTGCTCGTCGATTTCAACCACCCATTGTATCTCCATCCCTCGGATACTCCGGGTACGGTTTTAATCTCTCATCAGTTGTCTGGACCAGACAACTACACTGTCTGGAATCGTTCAATGAGAATCGCACTCCTCGCCAAGAACAAGTTAGGATTCGTCGATTGCCGCGACGATTTCCAGTCTCCTCTTCAAGCTCAGTGGGAC